TCGCGAATAGGATCCGCACGCCGTGCACGCCACGAACTCGCCTGCGACCCTGAGTCTGTGCCCCCTGCATGCCTCAGGCGGCACGGGGCCAGACTCGGGGAGAGGCGCAGCAGGTGGGGTTGCCGAATTCGCCCCAGGCTGCCCCCCCCGAGACCTCTTTGGACGGGGGGCCGCACTCCCCCGTGGGCCCGCAGGCCTGGCCAGCGGCCGACTGGGCGCGAGAGCTCCAGGGAAAAACCGGCGTGCCGACCCATCCGCTATCACTTCGGGTCTGGCGGGGTCCTGGGGCGTCGTTCTAATCAGTGGCGACGCAGAAACTGCCACCAGGTTACTTGGGCATGGATTTTCTCCAGGGTGCGATCCAGCCGATCCCGAAGACGCAAAAGTCCGAGGCCGCACGACACGGGCAGAGGGAGCAGAGGCAGGGCGCCTCTGACCGCGTGACGGCGCGGGAGCTCTAGGGAAATCCGCGCCGGCCCCACACGAGCCAGGATCCGTCGCCAGAGCTCCAGAAGCGGATCCAGCCGACGGCTCGGAGGACGAGGAAGGCACAGAAGCCGCCAGCGCAGCTCCAGTCATGAGCGCCGCGGCCGCCACCATCGCCTGGGGGGCGGTGGACGTGGCCAGACTGCATTCCGCCGGCTCGCCGTCCTCGGTGAAACGCACTCGCTTGCGGGGAGGTTCATGGGCAGCCTGGGGCGGAGAAAAACCGACTGGGGCACCCTCCCCCCCGCCTGGGGCCGCCGAGCTGTGGCTCGACATGTCGGCATCCTGATTTAGGGCCGCGCCGAGGGCTGCGGGGGCGGCCGCGGGGCGCGGAGGAGGAGGAGGAGGAAGCTCAGAGGCCCGCTCGACCACATCCCCCCGAGCCGCCTGGGCCCGCGCCTTGAGCTCCCTCCCCCTGCACGTCTGGCGGAGCATACGCGCGCGACCAGCCAACGCGCGAGCTTTGCTACCGCACCAGGCGCATCGCCACCACGAGGCAGCGAAAAACGGAGCATGAGCATAGGCGGGCGTCACGCATGGCTCACTACGGCGTCGCCGCGGCTGGCGCGTCCGCCGCCCTCGTGCTCGCGGCGGCCGTGGGTCGCGATCCGGCGCCAAGGCCCCAGACATCAGGCCGTCGTGCACCGCTGCCACCCAGCAGGCCGTCTGACGAAGGTGTCGAAGGAGGACCTTGGACTCCGCCTTCTGCTGGTCCGTGAAGCAGTGGAGCCGTGGAGCCCCGATCCCAAGCGAGCGAGCGCGTCCGCCCAGTCGTTGCCATGCCGATGCTGGTCGTTGCCGCTCTGGTGCCCACGGACGTGAACGATGCGCACGTCCGAGGAGAGGCCGCCGTGGTCATCCAACTTGGCCCACAGCTGCACCCACAGATCGCGATTCCAGCGCCTGGGACAATGTGCCCACGCGCGCCCGCGCGCCAGGCCGAGGATAACCTCCAGGTGGTCCGTGTGGATGCAGAAGGGCGGAACGGCCACTAGCAGGACCTGAATGACCGCCCAGAGTTCGGCCTTGGGCGAAGATTGGACTGGCCCAGGCACCGCGCCGTAGTAGCCGCCGACGGCCCGGAAGTTCTCGAGGATAACGAAACCCCAGCCCGCTCTCGCGGCCTGCGGGCGGCTCCAATGCTTCAGGCAGGAGCCGTCGGCGTAAATGAGGCCGGTGACCATGAAGCCTGGGGCTGCCAGCAGCGCGTGCCAGCGGCCGCTGTCGTCACGGGGAGGAGGAACAGGTAGCGAGGACAGCGGAACCAGCAGGCGCGCCCAGCGCGGATCGTTCTGCATGATGTGTGGCAGCCCGTCGATCAAGGCCTCATCCAAGGCCAGCTCCCGCTCGGGCTGGCACGGCTCGCACTGCCAGTAACGGTGAACTGATGTGCCAGGCGCGGCCCAGCATCGTCGACATAGCCCGTCGGCCGCGTAGCCGTACCTGTGCAGTCGAGCCTGGGACCAGGTGGCACCCGCGACGAGAGACCGGACGGCGCCGGCGCCAGAGTCTGTGAGCCTCCAGCGGGTAGTGGGCCTGTGCAGCAGCGCCGCGAGCGGCTCCAGCCAGTAGCCCTGCGGCTGCCAGCGCACTGGGCCCAGCTCAGGCGCGGGGTCGGGCGTGGCAGCCCAGCGCCGCCACATGGCGCGCATGGCGGACTGTCTCGCCAGCTGCTGGGCCGTGGAAGGGGCCGCGATGCGTAGGTCCAACGCGTCGCCCTCGTCCGTGCGCCAGGCGAAGGCGGAGGACGCGTCCCAGCCCAGGTCTCTCAGCGCCAGGCATACCGCGCCGGCAGGGCCCATGACCTTGCGCCAGGGGCGGGGGGCCAGCAGGACATGATGCTCATGATGATGATGGCGGTGGTGATGATGATGATGCTGAGGATGGTGACTATTATGATGATGGTGGTAGTGGTGGTGGTGGTGGTAGTGATGTTGATGGTAATGAGGATAATGATGATGAAAAATAAACGAATGAGGTGGTGATGGGGATGTCAATGGTGATGGTATGGTGATTGTAGTGGTGATGGCGATAGTGATGGTTATGATGATGATGTTGATGATGACAATGATGGTGATGATGATGGTGCTGATGGTGATGGTGATGATGATGGTGATGGTGATGGTGATGATGATGATGATTATTACATGGCTAGCGGCACGGAGATTCCAAAAGCCACAAACAAACAGGAGGGTGCGAAGCCCCATGCAGCTGGAGCAGCACGCCGCCCCACGCACCAAGCAGGCGACCACCCACCCCACCACAACTTCGGAGAACGCGCGTCAGCGTCCAGGCCGCCCAACGTTCCCCCAATACTTCCATGGGGATGCCACCAAACAGCTGCGAAAGCCCTGAAGAAGTCCACAACCGCCACAGAGAGCCCAACAGGCCGCGGACGGCCTCAATGCGGATCCCCGTCGGCCCGCGATGACACAATCAGCTTCGGCTGCTCCGTAAAACCCAAGCCTGTACAGACGTGGTGCCGCGAAGCGCTGAGGAGAAAGCTAAGCGAGGACCCAAGATTGAAAAGAAATGTCCCTCCGTCCGCACGTTTTACATAAAATCTGCAGAAGTCGAAAGCGAAAGCCCAATCTTGAAGAGGAACTGCCGAAATGCTGGGGGGCCCTTCGGGCGACCGTGTGCGGCGCTCGGCGGGGAGCCACGCCTTGACAAGCTGCCACCCCTCCGCGCGTGTCCGCCCCCGTGCCTGCACGGTGCGAAGCACTGGAGCGCCTGTCCGTTGCCCCGTAAGGTTTCAGTGGCTGTCGATGGCCGGACCCACGCCCCTCGCTGCACTCGCCCTGCGAGCTCCACCACCCCTCGGTGCTGCCTCCCCTCCCCCGTCCCGTCTTCCAGACGGGTCCAAGACCGCCCAAGACCGATCCGACAGGCGCGCGAGATGTCCGAGGGCCAGCCAAGCCAGCCCAACAGCCCCCCGAAAAAGAAGAGACTCCGAGAAGTTCTGGCAACGTATGTCGCCAAAAGAGGCCTTCAGAGAGACCTGGAGATCCTAAAAATCACTAAATATTGTGGGAAATAACCATTGCCTGCTTCCGATGCTTTTTGGCTGCAGCCCGCTGCGGGGAAGCATCGAAGAGCCCCACGAAGCACCCAAAGTGGCCCGACAGCCGCCCCCAAGGCCCACCGAGCCGCCCTCAAGACGGTACAGCCGAGCATCGTCGGGAGAGCTCCGCAGAACCATCGCGCACGAGGCGGCCGGGAGACGGCCCGACTGGCCCCCAGAGTCCCCAACACGCCCCCCACGGGCCCCCAAAAACGTCCTCGAGCGGCCCCAAGGGATCCCAAAGAAGACTCCAGAAGGTCCCCACGATGCCTTCAAGATGGAAGGGGCGGAAGCGGAAGCGGAAGCGGAACGCCGCAGTCGTGGGCACTCCGATGGGGAGCCCGATTGTGGTCATCAAGGCATGGCGTGGAGGCCGTAGCCTCGAATATGGCTAGCCTCAGCAGGAGGGAGAAGAGAGAGGATGGAGAAGGAGGAGGGACAAGAGGATCATGAGGCTGCAGACAGGTAGGGAGGTGGGTGCTTAACGCCCGCGCCAATTCCGACAGGATACTGAACCGGGGCGCCTCTTTCCCGCTGGGCTGCTGCGCGGGCATGGTGGCAGGGGATGCCGCAGGCAGCCGGATGCGCCGAGAGCCTTTCAAGGACGAGTGCGCGCGGCACTCCGGGAGCCACACTCCGACGGAAGCGCCCGCTGTCTGGCAGTGAGGTCGTTGTGGTGTTCTTCAGGCGCGCGGCCTTCGAAAAGAACCACATGCTGAGAACGGCCACCCCTCTCTCGTCCGTGCGGCTGCTGGAAGTCTCAATCTTCGAGATCACAAGACGTTCGCGCGAGTCTCGGGCGGATTGTGCGGAACGTCCGAGCAGCCCTGCCGACGAGGAGGCAGCTTTGGCAAAGAGCAGGGACGGGTGAGAAGTGGCGATCCAAACGCCCCGCCTGCGACCGCACCACAGACAGGCAGGGCTTCTCATGGGCGGGGGACGTATCCATGTCTGCAGCCTCGCACGTCACTCATCAGCCACGGCCCAGTGGATACGGGGCGGCCCAACGTAATCATGGGGTCGTGCATCCCTGGGGCGCGTCGGTGTCAGGACTGCGAGGGCATGGATGTGGCCCAGACATCCAACAGTATGCTTTTCCCAAGCGCGGCACCAGGGCTCCCGACCCCTGAGCCGGGCGCGCTTTTTCGTCCCGAGGCCCGAGGCCCGAAGACCGCCTACAGATGTCGAAATGAGCAACAAACCCGCGGTGTCTTCAGCACACAAAAATGCGAGGCGGGAATTTATCCATATCTACCACCTGGGAACGGACGTCCTGGTGACCCAGCGGACGTCCTGGTGCCCCGGGGGCCCGAATATATCCATATCCAGCGCCTGTCGAGGTCCCCGCAAATCGATCCTCCAGGCGGTGGTCGTGCACAAATTCTCCCCTCGGAGAACAAACAAAAAAAAGGATATGCTCGATAAGCTTGAGCTTTGGCGCCACCGCAACCGTACTGCCCCGCGAGCGCCAGGAACTCGCGGTCTGCCGCCTCGAAGCCAGCCGCGAGGCCGCTGCGAATCAGCTCGACCTGGCCGCCGCGAGCCCGGCCCCGCGTGCGGCACCCCGAAGGCAGGGCTGAGAAGGCGGAGGAGGAGGAGGAGGAGGAGGAGGAGGAGGAGGAGGACAAGGAGGAGGAGGAGGGGAAGAGGAGGAGGAGGAGGAGGAGGAGGAGGAGGAGGAGGAGGAGGAGGAGGAGGAGGGAGGAGGAGGAGGAGGAGGAGAGGAGGAGAGGAGGAGGAGGAGGAGGAGGAGGAAGGAGGAGGAGGAGGAGGAGGGAGGAGGAGGGAGGAGGAAGGGGAGGAGGAGGAGGAGGAGGGAGGAGGAGGAGGAGAGGAGGAGGAGAGAGAGAGTAAAAGGAGGAGGAACACGAGGAGGAGGAGGAGGAGGAGAGGAAGAGGAGGAGGGAGGAGGAGGAGGAGGAGGAGGAGGAGAGGAGGAGGAGGAGGAGGAGGAGGAAGGAGGAGAGAGGAGGAGGAGGAGGAGAGGAAGAGGAGGAGAGAGAGGGGAGGAGGGAGGAGGAGGAGGAGGAGGAGGAGGAGGAGGGGGAGTAGGGGGAAGAGGAGGAGGAGGAGGAGGAGGAAGAGGAGGAGGAGGAGGGAGGAGGAGGAGGAAGGGGAGGAGGAGCAGGAAGAGGAGGAGGAGGAGGAGGAGGAGGAGGAGGAGGAGGAGGAAGAGGAGTAAAAGGAGGAGGAACACGAGGAGGAGGAGGTTCAAATCGCGCGCAGCCGTGCCCCGGCCGCCCCCCTCCTCGCGACGAGGACGCGGACGGAGCGGTTGCTGCCGCGCCTTCTCGGGCAGCCCAAGTACCCGGCGCCGCTGCTGCCCTGGAGAGCGCCGCAGGCGCCGCTGTCGCCGCCGCTTCCGCTGCACCGCCTGCCGCCGCTACCCAGCACCCTCCACGAGTCGCGCCGGAGACGGTCCGCCTGGCGAGCACGGCGAATCCTGACAGGTATTTCCGCCACCCGGCATGCATCGCCGGCGGCGTGCCACACGGGTCCGTGGAGGGCTTGGCGGCACTTACCGAACAGGGCCGGGTGGAGATACTCGTCTGCACGACGCAGGCGCCAGGGGCTGCTGCAGCCAAATGCGGACGACGCGCCGCCCAACGACCTCCAGCCGCGGCACGTGCCGGCAGAGGCGGGCGAACTCCTTGGGCTGGAGTGGCTGGCGGGTTTCGACTTGCACCGCGCCCTGCGGGAGCCGGCGCCCACGTGGACGGCGACGCCCCCGGCCTTCGCCATAATTAGCGGTCGCGGACGCGCTCGCCGCGGCACTGCGCGCAGTCGCGGCGAACCCAAGGAGCGAAGCGGCGCGGGCCCGGCTGCTCCCGCTTCCGCGGCTGGTCTTCGCGGCGCCCCCCAACAGCGGCAGTGGCGAGCAGCTCTCGGCCTCCACGGCGCTGCCGCGCCGCCCCTTCAGGCCCGGGCCAGCGATTGGACGGCGCCGCGGGCCGCGACGGCGCGACCCGGGGAACCGGCCGAGGACCGCGCGGGCTAGCGGAAACCCGAAGAAGTGGCCCGTCGGGCGCATGAGCTCATCATGCTTGGAGATGCGGGCCGCGCTGCTGCGGCGGCCGCGGGGCCCGGCAAGTCGGCGCAAGGACCCGAGGTGGCTCGAGAACTGGACGCCCTTTTCCCGCCAGCGGCGCCCGCCGACCGCCCGCCGCCGCCGCCCGCGGCGCAGACCGCCGAGCCGCGGGAGGCCGACGCGGCCGAAGAGGCAGCGGGCAGCCTCGGGAAGTACCCGCGCCACTCGGGCCCAGGCCTCTCGCCCGCTTCGAGCAGCACTGGGCGGCTCTGCGCGGGCACGGCGAGGGGAAGCAGGCGCTCGCGCAGGTGCTTGCCCTCACCCTAGAGGGCCGGGTGCTGGAACAGGCCACGGCTGCCGCCGCCGCCGAAGCCAGGAGGCGGCGCGAGACCGCCGGCCCGCGGCGAGACGCTGCACGGACGGCGGCCAAGGCGGCCACGGCGGCGCACAAGGATGCCATCGCTGCAGCGGCGGGTCGCCGCCAGTTTGGCGCGGGCCGCAAGAACGGCATCGAGCTGATGCACCGCGCGCATCGCGGCGACCGCGCTGGAGCGCGACCCCGGCGCCGCGGAGCTCTCCTTGGACGTGGCCAACGCGTTCAACGAGCTCTGCCGGGACACCCTGCTTCGGGGGGGCGCTGGCCGCCTGCCGGAGCTCTCGCGGCCGGCGCAGACGTGGCGCGGCGGGGCCACCATGCACTGGGCCCGCCTTCCTGGGGCCAGGGCGGCGCTGGTCAAGGCAGAACGCGGGGTGGACCAGCGTCGCCCCCTTTCCCCGGCGTTCTTCGCGCGGGCTGCGGCGACTCCCCCCACGAGGGCCCAGGGGCGGCGGCGCGCCGCCGGGACTCCGACGCTATACCTCGACGACGCGCACGTCGCGGGCAGCCCGCGCGCACTGGCCGCCGCGCTCCTCGCGGCGCCAGCGCCCCTGGCGGCGCGCGGCCTCCGCCTGAGCGCGAGGGCGGCCAGGGCCTGGGACCCTCGAGCCCTGCCTCTCCCACGGCCGCTGGCGAAGGCAAGACCGACCTCGAGCGCGCGGGAAGCGCGCTGCCCTACGTGTGCAACGCGGCGGGGGCGGACCCGGGCGCCGACCCCGCGGGGGCGAGCTTTCCGCCGGCGGCCGCCCCGCAGGCGGCCCGAGACCACCTCGACGCCGACCTCGCGGGCCTCCGCTGGCTCCGATGGCACGGGTTGCGCGCCCAGGGCGAGCTCGTCCTGCCTCGCACCTCCGCCGACGGCGCGGCCCTGCACCACGCGCGACCGCGCCTGCTGGACGAGGCGCGGCGCCAGGCGCACGACGCGGCGGTTCACGGCCACGCGCGCGAGATCCTAGAGGGCCAGGCGCCGGAACAGGCCACGGCTGCCGCCGCCGCTGAAGCCGGGAGGCGGCGCGCGACCGCCGGCCTGCGGCGAGACGCTGCACGGGCGGCGGCCAAGGCGGCCACGGCGGCGCACAGGGATGCCATCGCTGCAGCGACGGGTCGCTGCCAGTTTGGCGCGGGCCGCAAGAACGGCATCGAGCTGATGCACCGCGCGCATCGCGGCGACCGCGCTGGAGCGCGACCCCGGCGCCGCGGAGCTCTCCTTGGACGTGGCCAACGCGTTCAACGAGCTCTGCCGGGACACCCTGCTTCGGGGTCGCTGGCCGCCTGCCGGAGCTCCCGCGGCTGGCGCAGACGTGGCGCGGCGGGGCCACCACGCACTGGGCCCGCCTTCCTGGGGCCAGGGCGGCGCCGGTCAAGGCAGCCCCTGGCGTTCTTCGCGCGGGCGGCGGCGATTCCCCCCGCGAGGGCCCGGAGGCGGCGGCGCGCCGCCGGGGCTCTGACGCCAAGGTGGTGGCCTACCTCGACGACGCGCACGTCGCGGGCAGCCCGCGCGCACTGGCCGCCGCGCTCCTCGCGGCGGCGGCGCTCCTGGCGGCGCGCGGCCTCCGCCTGAGCGCGAGGGCGGCCAGGGCCTGGGACCCTCGAGCCCTGCCTCTCCCACGGCCGCTGGCGAAGGCAAGACCGACCTCGAGCGCGCGGGAAGCGCGCTGCCCTACGTGCGCAACGCGGCGGGGGCGGACCCGGGCGCCGACCCCGCGGGGGCGAGCTTTCCGCCGGCGGCCGCCCCGCAGGCGGCCCGAGACCACCTCGACGCCGACCTCGCGGGCCTCCGCCGGCTCCGAGGGCACGGGCTGCGCGCCCAGGGCGAGCTCGTCCTGCCTCGCACCTCCGCCGACGGCGCGGCCCTGCACCACGCGCGAGCGCGCCTGCTGGACGAGGCGCGGCGCCAGGCGCACGACGCGGCGGTTCACGGCCACGCGCACGAGATCCTGCGGCCGCTCACAAGGCACCAGACTCTGCCGGACAACGCGCGCGACTTGGCCGTCCTGCCCAGCGCTGGCGGCGGGCTCGGGCAGCTGGGCCTCGCGCGCCGCCGCTTGCCCGCTTACGCGGGGGCTTGGCAGGCGTGCCTAGCGAGCGTCTGCGGTGAGCTCGGACTCTCCAGCCTCGAGGCTCTCGAGGCTTTCCAACGCGCCTGCCCGACGGCGCGGGGAGCGGCGGAGGGGGCGGGCCGCGCCCCCCAGGCTCGCGGCGCGACCTGGCTGCGCGCCGCCGCGGAGCCCCAGGCTAAAGCATAGCGCGCCCTCGCGGCGCTGGAGCAGCACGCGCGCCGGCAGCGGCTCCCCGGCGCCTTGCCACCAGCGCGGGCAGCGCAACTACGCTCGGCCAGCGGGAAAGGAGCGGGGAGTTGGCTCCAGCCGCCGACTGCGGAGGACCACGCGATGGCGGACGCGCACTTCCTCCCAGCCTTCGCGCCGCGCCCCCAGCTGCCCCTGCCAATGACCGCCAGCGCCACCTGCTGCCACTTGAGGGAAGACGGCACGCGCTGCGGGGCAGACCTGACGGCGGGGCACTGCCTGGGACGCCACGTCGGCGGCGGCGCGATCCAGCGCCGCGACGGCGCCAGGGATTGGCTCGCCCGCTAGCTCGGCGCCCGCGGCGCGACAGGCACGGAGCATCCCGCGCCCGCTTGGGACCGAGCGCGCCCCGACGGCGCCGTGGAGGGCGCTCGACTCGACGCGGCCTTCACAGACCCCACGGCCGGCGTTGCCTACGTCGACGCGGTGGTTACTGACGCCTCTCTCGGCGCGAACACGCCGGCGGGCCGGAGCCGCGCCGCCTGGGACGGCGCCTCTCCCGCTGCCTGGGAGGAGGAACGCAAGCACGCGCGCTACCCAGGCCCAGCGCCGACGGCTTCTGTGCCGGAGGCCCCCGGGCGCGCCGGAAAGGAGGCGCAGGTGCCCCCGCGCACGTAGGCGCGCGGGGACGCCGAGGCGCTCGCGGCGGCGCGCCAGAGCCTCGCGGCGACGCTTCAGCGGGGCAACGCCGAGGCGCTCCGCCCCGCTTGCTTCGCTGCGCGCGGGGTGGCGCGCAGCGGGGCTGGCGGCGGCGAGCCGGCGGCGCGCCGCCCACGCGATAGCCAAGCGCGCACCCGCGGGCCTGCGGCGCGGGCGCTG